ACCAGTAAAACATGGCATCGCTACTAGGAGCAAGGACGCTACTAGGGTCTCCTGGCCCTGCTACTAGGAACAAGAAGCTACCAATACCAGTAAAACATGGCATCGCTACTAGGAGCAAGGACGCTACTAGGGTCTCCTGGCCTTACTACTAGGAACAAGAAGCTACCAATACCAGTAAAACATGGCATCGCTACTAGGAACAAGGACGCTACTAGGGTCTCCTGGCCTTACTACTAGGAACAAGAAGCTACCAATACCAGTAAAACATGGCATCGCTACTAGGAACAAGGACGCTACTAGGGTCTCCTGGCCTTACTACTAGGAACAAGAAGCTACTAGTCTTTTGTTCGCAGCTTTACATCTTGGCGCTCCGAGGTACGGAACCCTTCTGCTGAGAGATCTTTGATCGACCTTGGATGGGAACGACGCCGAGAGCTGCCTGGCAGAGCAAGCTTTCTTGAAAACAGTCCTTTTGTTTGACATCCTTTCAGCAAATCCTGTTTTTTGTAGTGTGAGGCACAGTCCTTTGATTCTACATTGTTCTACCACGCCTTGAAATTAGACTCAGTGCGGCATTCTTCTGGACAGGTTTGACAAAGCAGGCAGCTTCGCCTGCAATCTATCGACATCGATCCATATGAAGGGTAGAACCCAAGCTTTCAAGGTCGGAACTTTGCAGCAGTTGGTCACTAGATGTACCAGACTCTTATTTTCTCTACTAGTAAAGGGCATCTCTACTAATAACAAAAGCATCCCTACTAGCACCAAGAAGCTACTACTGTAGTAGCTCCTGGCCTTACTACCACAATGCCACAACAGCATACATCGCTCCACAAGGCCTCTCTGTGTGGGAGATGGACTGCTCCCAGCACCACGACTGAAATATTGCAGACCACTCATGAAGTTGAGGGTATTAGAATGTATTGGGGATTGAGTCGGATTGACTGATGGGAAGAACTTTGTTTGACTCAACTTAAGTCATGTGAGGTACTCGAATGATAGCAAGCTGCTGGGATGCAGTAAGCATCTAACATGTTGAGCGCGTTGGCCCACTCCTGGCCTTACTACTAGGAACAAGAGGACACTACTACATAACGGACCCACTAAACCCATGACCTACCCGGTCATAAGAAACCTGCGCTCCGCTACACTGCTGGGACTCGGCTGGGATGTGGGATTTGAGGCTTCGAAGTTGGACCGAGCGCGAAAACCGCAGAGGTACGATATCTTTTCAGGACAGACACGAAGTTTGTTGGGGTTCCAAGCTTGAAGCAGAGCACATGAAACCGAAGGACATGGCAAGCTGAACCTTCGGTAGTGGTGAGTGTTGACTTGCAAGCGCATGCAGGCAA